GGACCTTGTGACTCACCGAGGTCAACACGGCCTAAATTAGTGTGGTGTAATGTGAAATGGGCAACTCTGGGAAGCCAGTGCTCACCATACCACCCCTCGGGGCTCGTACCAGCCTGAATAGCTGATCACTAGCAGTGCTTGACCCTGCTGTCTTTTGTCCGTCCCTTAGGGGTGGCAAACGCGCTGGACCTGACGGACCGCATCCTGCCGCGGCTGCAAGCTCTCCGAAGCCACCAGCCGCATCTTGTCAACTTCCCTCCATATTCCCGCGATCAGATCCTGGCCATTTCTGCAGGACCGGCATCGGGGGTACACGTGGTATCCGCCATATAAGGCTCGATTTTCTCCGGGAATTGTAGTTTGCCTCTCTCTTGTAAAAATACTCGGGAAGATAATGGCGAAGCAATCTAAATCAGGGCAGTTTAACACGTAGGCTTTCGCGACCAATATTATTCATAATAAGCGGTTTTGGGTGAGATCGCGTTATTTATAAATGTGTCGTAACCCTCCACCACCCGACACGGCCAATCAGCAAAGAAAGTGTCATGTTGACAAAAGACAAATAGTTCACTTCTTTAGCCCACCGGTGTTGAAGAGTGAATCCACAACATTTACAGTTTTTGAGTAAGACGTTACGCTGGTAAATGCATCCAGCATCATCGGGCAATTCGCCAGAATGGCCAGTGGCCGGCGTGAGTAGGTTTAACGTTGATTTTTTAAGGGCAACACCGGGTGACCAGCCCCTCTCCACCCAGCCCCCCCACCACCTCCCAGCCCCTCCTCCCCACCCAGCCCCTTCCCACCCTCCCCTCCCCACCCAGCCCCTCCCCACCCAGCCCCTCCCACCCAGCCCCACCCCTCCCATTTTTGGATGCACAACGGATGGACGGACAGAATAATCCCAAGTGTGACTGGTGTAACCAGTAGGTTCCTACCAGTACCATGTTACTTGTAACGCACCGCACAGCACGTCGCTCTTCGCTCTCGTTAAGAGAGAACGACTCGGAGCCACAGGCAAGCCAGGAAGGCAGCCACGCGGTGAGCCTGCTGCCAACAAGGTCCAAGCTCTGCTGCACTCCATATATTATATAGGTGTTGTCGGCCAATTAATAGAAGCTCTATTAGACTCAACTGCAAGTCGATGCAGCAACGATTACTACTGCCACGCTTCGGCCCAACACCCGATATATGTATGTATGTATGCAGGTTTGAACTTATTTTGTACCATACGGGGGTGCGATTATTATATAATAATAATTAACCCACTTTGCCAACACAAGCAGCAGCCCACAATGCATGGATCCCCCAACTGTGTACCTTGCGCCAAGAGTCTCCACCACCTACACATAGCCACCCCACATAAGCGGATAATGCGCAAGCTGTTATCAATCTGCCTAGGTCACTCACAAGGGGATGAATTTTGGCAAAGCCTGCTGGAGGTGTGAAGGATTGGTGCAGCAAGTGACTTGGATGTATTGCCAAGACGTTTTCATTTAATGATGCGTTGTAAGCAATTTCCATCTGAATAAATGGCTGTCGTGCTGAAAGTTCTGAATCGGTTGCTGCGGCCGCTAAATGAATGGCATTTAGTTTCCAAGACACGGCGAGCCTGGGATGACAATTGTTGCTACTCTGTGTGCTAAGGAGCGTGGTTATCTCGTTATAGAATTCCATTTGCCACTGTTGATGTATTTGTATAATGCAAATGTGTGATTTAATTATTGGTATAATGGTTAGAATCTGTGGGAGAGTGGCCTGTTTTTATTCATGATGATTATAAATTTTATCTTGCGTCATTCATGCTAATTGCATCATACAGAACCGTACATTATATATAGGACCAACCCCAAACAAAACCTATACACTGCTCCTCCCAAGCTATTTATGAAGTACCTATTTAAAATAATGTTGAAATGACTATTCCATTACAAGAGAACATTTTCTTGAACATCGTACTCAAGAAAACGACAGTAAGACCACGGCGTCGTCTGCACACCCTGCCGAGAAGGCGAGCGTTGCATCACAACGCATCGCACACTCACGTTTACGTGTGTGTGTGTTGAACTTCTTTCGCACCGTACGTAGCCAACCGTGCTAATCGGAGGTGCGGAAAATGCATCAACAAAGCAAACCACTGTCAAATAACTTCCTCGGAGTTTACCTTTTTGGATAACAGTTATAAATGTTTGCGATGCGATTCCTGAACGTTAGAGAATGCATATGCAGAATTGTGAATCGTGTTTGCTGTTTAAATTTGGCATTTCGTGTTCCCGGCTGCATTTCGGATTTGTGTGTTCCCTCCGATAGTACTTCTTAAACAGGCACACACACGCGCGTATAAATACGTGTGCACGTATTGATGATGGTCCTTTGATTATCGTGGTTAGCTGCTGCTGCTGTTCACTAACGGCGCTGCCGTTTCCCCCTCTGTGCTGCAGCTGAAGGAGGGTGTGGTGGGACCCGGCCGCTGTGCAGTTCTGCGCCAGGAAGGTTGTCAGCCATGTCTGGGGATGCCCGCAAGGCGCTCGATGTCTTGCAGGTAACTGCGCCCAAGTTCATGCACGTGGAGAGCGGTGGCGCAGTGATTATTCTCGCCACGCCACGAACCTGCCGAACCGTTTGGTTTTCTTCTGACTGCCCACCTCTTCTGCTTGAACGGTGTGTGGTGGCCAGGAGATGGCAGAATGTTCTCAGAACAGTAGCATGTCTTGCACGTGGAGAGGTTAACGGCTTGGGGGGGTGGGGGGGGACTGCCTTTCATCCAGCAGTAACTTGACCACGGTTGGATGGGTTGTGTGAAGCACTCAAGATTTCCGTCCATCCCTTCAATGTTTGAATTGCACTTTTGACTCCCTCTTCCTTGTTTGTTCACTTCGACGATCTCCTCCCCCGTTCACCGAGCGTTGTTATTTCTCGCGGCAGGCGAGCTGTGGAAAAACTTGGAGGCGAAATCAGGAAGCAAACGGTGCTGAGCCCCAATGGAGAAGGTGAGGGAGGGAGGCAAGAACGCCCAGTCTCTGTTCGGAATATTAAGAAGGCCCTACAGTGCAGAGTGCAGTGGCACAATCATAATAATTGACGTTGTTTTATATTCTTCCTCTTCTCACTGAATGCATTTAATGTCTCGTGATGTATTCCTGTGGGGGGGAGGGGGGGGGGTTGCCGAGTGATTTCAATATCTACCATTGTCCCCCCCCCCCCCCCATCTGTCAGAGTAAATTTCGTGTCTCGGGTAAATATTATATTTAGGTTGAAGGTAATGACATATTTCGGCTATAACATTCGAACATAGTGGGCATGTGCCCTTAATTATAATATCGCTGGCTAATTAACATGTTAACAACAGGAGGTAGCCAGGTGTTTCTTCGGGGCTAATGCCTTGAGAACGCTGAGCCATCTCTGCCGAGATCATGGGTTCAAATCCGGGCAGTCACCGCAGATTAAACCAGCGTCTTAGGCAAAGCAAGTTGATTCTCTCAGCCTGGACACCAGCAATTGCCCAAAAGTCACGGCGTTTGGTGTTTCACTTAATTTGGCACAGTCGAGCATGGAGAACTACATTTCATAGTTGTATTAGCCTGTGATGATCACTCCTCTGAAGGGCCATGTAAGGTTGTAACAACCGATTAGGATGAGAGGCTTTATTAAGCTATAATATGTGGCTGGGTCGTTTCTGAATAAAAGCTAATGTCTCAGTGGGCCTTAACTGGTATGAAAAAAAAATTGCTTTATTTTATTTGTATGTTTTAAGCGATGTGTTTACCTTTCCTATACTTTGCACTCCTCTCGTGTTTTTGTATTGTTTGTTGTTGAAGTTGTGACCTGCCCCTACTGGACATATATAAAAAGAGCTTTATAGCTCTTCTGATTCCACCAGTATAAATAAATATTCTGATTGTGAAATGCCTTCGTAAAAATGTGTTGGAAATCTTAAAATGATTGCTGCTTGGCGATTGCAATTAAAAACTTGGGGGGGCGGGGCTTAGATTTGTATCAGTACGCCGTCCACCTGTGTGTGTGTTTGGTAGCTGATTCTCATGACCCTCCACGGTTCCTTTGTGCGAGTACAGGCCCTGCGCTCACGACGACGGTGCCCCGCAGGGTGACCCTCCCGCAGATCTCCGCCGTGCTCTCGGAGGTTTACGGGAGCCCCATGGCGTCACGCGCCGGGGACCATGGCGGCAGCTTTCCCCTGCAGCAGAAGCTGCTCGTCATCACGCTGCTGATGCTGGTGCGCAGTGGCAAGGTCAGGGAGTTCACCTTTGGCAAGGTGAGCCGGTGACCTGGTAGATGTTTGGCCTGTGAGCTGGGGTGCCGTGGGTGGCCTTGTACCTTGGGTGGGTGGGAGGCCCGGACCCTGGGGTGGATGGTCTGGTGGGTGGGTGGCTTGGTACCTGGGAGGGCGACCTGGCTCGTGGTTAAATAAAAATGCCAGGGTCGGCCAAAACAAGGCCATAAAATTTGGGGTAAATAAAATTCTTAATCGTAGATAAATGTGCTTTTATTGACTGCTTACATTCTTGTTAACCTTTGAAACTTCATTATATTGCCACTTACCATAAATAATAATAAAATATATGAATACTTAGTGCCCTGGCAAATTGTGGGTGATAAATAATTGAAGGGGTTTGTTTGATTTAAAACATTTAAAACATATATATGTAAAACATTTAATCAATTGACCGATGTGGATTTTGAACCCATGTATTCATTGTGAACAAAGACGACTGGGATACGTATATCTCTGAGGCCCATTAGTTGCAGGAATGAATTATTCATTTCCATGAAAAAAATTACATTTTTTATTTATATAGGTGTGTGTGCATGTATGCAAGACATCGCAGACCATTAGCAAACCTGGAACTGATGGGCTAGCTTTGTTTTTTTGTTGATGTAAAGCTAAATTTCAAGGGTCCGTTAAAATGACAACTTGTTTCTCCCTGCTTCAGACAATAATCGAGGAGCTGCCACTGCAGATGAGAACCGCCCCCAGTTCCGTAAAATAATAGCGTAATGGGATTAGACAAAAGTGACGATGATTCAATGTGGTTGTCGATGATGTTGATTTGCAGCTATTCGGCTACTTTTTATGTTACCAGGTAAGGGTCACTGAGCTATGTAGCATTTTTTCACACGCGACCTGACCACAAATGATAGCTCAACGAAGTGGCTTATCGCGTGGTCATTTTTAGCAGCCAAATACACGAAACGTATGTTTGTAAATGTGGAGGGAAACACCAGAGAACTCTGAGAAAAATCCACGTGACCACAGTCAGAACATACCAATTCGAAATATACAGGCGGCCGGGTTGAGATCGAACCCACGACCTCCTGTAAACGAGGCGAGGTAGTTAACATCTCGCCACCGTGGTGTGATAGGCTTTGTTTGAAGGCCCAATCTTTGGCACTCATTGTAGAATCAGTCATTTGGGTGAAAATATTGAAAGTTTTTAAAATTTAGTTGGAGACTGCGCACATATATATTCTTAATGGTAGAATTGCATCCCTGCTGGGACATCCTGCCAAACGTGAGATGTCATGAGCACATTTCCTGGCAGCTGCAGAGTACCCCATTTACAACGCTAATTGGCAACACCTGCCAACTCTCGATCCGCTTCCACACATTCATCACCAGCCCCGTCACACACGGCAGGCAGCCAGACGTTTCTGTTGTCGAAACTATTTTACCTGGAGAACCCCTCGATTGAACATTCGTATGCGAGCGTACCCAACGTTTCGAGTCGGTGACGCGTATGTAGCAAAGCTGACTGAAAAGCACCAGAGGGACGCAGTGCCATCGGAGCCAAACGCTATGCGTGATTGACAGTGGCAGCCCAACTCGGCTTGTATAAGTCAGGTGGGCAGCTCGGAGATCAGCAGTGTCGGGAGGGCGCACACAAGTGTTGCCAGTGGATGCACGTGACGCACCTTCCTACGCTCTGCCGTCACGCTGGGTTTAACTTCCCACCGGCTCCGAGTCTGCGAGTTCTGGGCATGGGGCGCCGTGGTGGCGAGATGTCAACTATGTCGCCTGGTATGCAGGAGATCGTGGATTCAATCCCGACCCTGGCGCCTGCTGTATATTTGTAGTTTGCGTGTTTTCTCTCCACGTGGTCGTGTGGATTTTTCTCCTGGGTCCTCTGGTTCCCCCCCCCCCCCACATGCTTTGAGAGTGTTAGGTTTCTGTAAATCTCCACGTGATAAAACCATTTCATTGAGCTATCATTTGTGGCCAGGTCACTTCTGAAAAAAGAGCTCTACAGCTCGGTGGGCCTTACCTGGTAAAATAAAATAGTTTATAGTTTTAGAATCCACCAGAGATGCAATTACATTTCCAGCACATGCCCACAGATTCTCCCCTGGCCATGTCCACTTCAGCAGCCATGCTGATGGCTGTCAAATTGTAGCAGCTGTTAATGATTATGGACTGCGTGTGCACCCGGCTACTTGTTTTTGCCGGGAACTGCATCTAGATCCATGCAGAAATGTTCATGACTACCCACAATCAGCAGGATGTGAATCACCCCTTAGTGGCCTGTCCCTAACATCTTTGGACGGGAAATCATGGATGAGGAACTCGCCACAAGTTATGCTGGGAATTGATGCATGTGTACACTCTACCAGTGGCGGGAGTGTAGCGGTTAGCGCACTGCGCTACGAACCTGGCGACACAAGTTCGATTCCCGCTCGGGATCAATAACTGTTTCGAAATATTTGAACTGGTCCTGGGGCTCGCCTAGGTCGATTCAGCCTCAAATAACGACCTGCTGGAATTGGCCACTCCCTTGTGCATCACGCCTGGCTGCGTAGGTGCCCCCTCGCTCGGCACACGCCCCAACAGTCTGTTAATGGTGATACGGGGGGAGCCTTTGTTGTCTATACCATTCATTCAATTTATTATTTCTCGAGTAAAAACTCGCCCCCATTAAAGAGGGTATCGCAGTACTTTACAGTATAAATTAAACGAAGGGAGTCCTATCGATTAAAATCGGTGTCACTTCGGCCATCATTGATGCTCCCTTATTGCTCGCGGGGGTCAAGGTCTGACATGGGTTTTTGGTCGTGTCCCCAGATCCACGAGACGTACACCGGAGTCTGCCAGAGGCACCAGATGGCGCGGTTGCACCAGTCGGAGTGCCTGGCGCTGTGCAGTCTGCTGGAGGCCCGAGGAATCCTGACCATCAAGAACTCCAAGGAGGCTCGCCTCATGAAGGTACCGATCGCTGGCGGTTGTTTTTGATAAACAATTATATTTATATCGCCGTGCAGCAAACGTGCTCGGACATTAGGAATTCGATATCCCCCAGAGCAAGACGAGTAAGTGAACTACATGGCGCGTTATACAGAAGTTATGGGTAGTACGTGGAAGGAGGGCATGTAACGTGATCAGAAACAGGAGGTCGTTGCAGGTTTGGACGTGTGTACAGGATGGTTGTTTTATCTCGCTGGACATTGGAGCGACACACAGAGGTCAACAACCTTGAGCAAGAGCGCAATACTCTGATGACGGGATACTGTAGCAGCAGGTATTAGATGTCGGGTATCTCCTGCACAATAGTAGTTTGATCTGGCAGTAGGGAGGAACTGATGACAAGGTATGATGACGTCCATGGCATTGGATATGGTGGCCTGATGAGATCTTCTTTGTGCGCAAAGCCATAATTTAAGATTAATTTTGGTTTCACGAGTTCTCAGCCGGGTTAAAGACAAGGCGCTTGAAACTCGACGCAGGGCAAGAGAGACACTTTTTGACTCGACCTCAATCTGAGAGCTGCACGCACACACGCACATGCACGTGAAGTAACGTCCGTTGTGTCTGGGCAGGTGTCGTTGAAGATCGACCAGAGCGACGTGGAGCACGCTCTCCAGGACAAGGTTCTCCTCTCGAGCATCCTGCAGGCCGGGATCCCCAAGTAGGGAGCTGCCACCTTCTCCACCTCCTCCACCTCCTCCACCTCCTCCACGCCCTTTGCTGCTGCCGCTGTCTCAAAGCGAGCCTCAACGACGACAGCCGGGGGTCCGTGTCGACGATCGACCCTTCCACCGACGAGGTTGTTTCGTTGGCGAAACTTCAGTCGGCTGACTTTTTTTAAAGCCCCTTTTTGAAAGGCAATTTTATCGCATATAGCGGCCGGGCAAAGGTGAGGACGCCGCGTCGTTTGGGAGCCATCTCCGTGCCAGCTTGTCGAGTTTGATCTTATTGACAAGTTGCTTTGTGAATTGAGTACGATTCACGTTGGGCTCAAAGCTGAGCAGCAATTCTCAAACCTATGAAGTTAACTGACAATCCACGAGGCCCATATTGCTATGACGTTGTTGGCTTGTTCCAAACTCTTTTAAAGGAAACACCGTTGATCATTGTTCTTATTGTGACTTGCAGCTTGCTGGTTGTTTTACCAGTGTGGAATGGTGAATAATGTATCTTTTCCAAACGCAACATGAAATGCACACATCACCGCCGTGCCAAGTGGCACTGGGTTCGAAGCGTTCAACTCAACCTTTGGAAGGTGTCCAGATTAATTAGTAGTTCAGGGTTGGCTTAACCAATCGTCTCCCGAGTCTGTTAAATGAGCACCACTGGGAAGTCAACAGTGGTCATCCACTAAAACAGCGTTCTGCACTAATGTTCAGAGCGGGGGCCACTTTCACCGATAAGACATCAGTGTGTGTGTGTGAAGGCCGCCACACGTTGAAATCCTTTGGGGTTTGACAGCAGCACGATGATGGGGGGGGGGGGGGGTATTTTCACTATTTATTTTCTGGGGGCCGCACTAAAGGCCACCAGGGTGCGCCATTGTCCCTGCGGGCCTTGCAATCAAGAACACTGCTCGACAAAGACTTGCTCTCCCATCAAGAACATCTCATCACTGGCTTAGAAGCCATCGAGATGAGAACTGCTCAATCTTAAGCCGAAATACATTTCCATGTGTGATGAAACTCCTGCCGTGACTTGTGAAAGTATAATGAAACTCGTCGCTGCGGTGTGGCAGCGTCGGATGTGTACACGTGAAGTGTTTTGAGGATACTTTTTTGCTGAAAATAATCAACTTTTTTCAATGCCCAGCACACACTTCCCCATTCATGTTTGTAAAATATGGAGACGTTCAATTTTGATTGAGATTTTATTGAATAACATCATGGCTATTTTACAGCCTCTTTGTATTATCCGAATCATTGTTTGGTATTATTAACCTGTTGGCATGAAACTTAATTGTGTAATTTTAGTGTTATCTGTGGTTTTATTTTGAAAAAAAGTCCCTAAAATCCAATTGCTACGTATTGTGGTGTGGATGACTTAAATTTTACGTGAAAACTTCTGAATGCCAAACTAAAATGGGGTATGCTTATGATCGAAATGCATATTATGTTTTACTAATTCAATAGTGTATCAGTTAAGTGAGCTTTATGGCCATGCGAGGTGGTGTGTGTGTGCATTATGATGTTCAACAGTTTGCAATAACAGTGTTAATATTTTAAATAAATGCTTTTATGAGGATAAATAGTATTGCCTCATCATGGATTTTCAATGCAGTGTTGCATTTGTATGTTTGGCCAATGCCTTTCTTATTGGTGTTGCATTCACAAGGTTACAAGACTGGATACACCATGCTTTCAGCCCAGTGGGTTTTGAAGTTTCACAGCACATGATTAAATGTGATCCACCCAGCCAGCTTCCTCAATTAAACATTGTTTGGTGGCAGCGGTGCACAAGCACAAATAACAAAACAATCTCAACACATTAGTCACTAGCACTGCCTTAAAAACACATTCCTGCGGAGGGAGCTGGTAGGAACGTTGGGTTTCTCGGTCAATGGCCAGGGTCAACGGCGGCGTGTATTCTGCAAATATGCCCGACTGTGAGGGCGGGCACAAGCCGGCTTGAGGTAGATTAAACGTTGAGTTTTATAAGGGCACCACGGGGTGACCAGCTCCTCCCCACCCAGCCCCTCCCCACCCTCCCCACCCAGCTCCTCCCCACCCTCCCCACCCAGCTCCTCCCCACCCTCCAACCAGCCCCACCCCTCCCTTTTTTGTATGCACGACGGACGGACACAATAATTCCCTACGGGCTGGTGGAACCAGTTGGTTCATACCAGTAAAATTAAAAGTGTATACAGTAGCACCCTGTTTACGGCGGGGATGCGTTCCTGAAAGGCGTGACGACGAATATCGAAACGCCGTCAAAGCGGTAAAAACGACATCAAAAATAGAGAAAATGTCTATTATTCCCCACAAACGTTGCTTTTGTGACCAGGACAGTGGTATTTTGAAATGTACCTATTTTAGATGAGAAAACGTGTGCACTTGTGGCATTCCTTCACATAAAGTCCTGGTCACAAAAGCAAAGTTTGTGGAAAATAATAGCCATTTTCTATACAATTTGAGGCGTAAACAATTAGAAAATAACACTTGGTACGCAGGAACATAAATCGTGTTACATGGGGAGTTATTAAATCGCAACGCAATTGTGAAATGCACGGCCACTACCCCAGAGCTTCAGCTCCAGTGATTGGCTGCTGCCGACTGCTCCCTCCTGACTCGTGGCCTCGTTGGGAAGTATCCCACCATTGATATTTCCCCATGAGCCACAATGTTGCCACGACTTTCACGGTTGGGCCCCAGTGACTGTTAAATGGGTCTTCAAAAAGAAAAAAATAACCCGTAAAAACAAAGTTTTTCACTATAAATCCTTTATATGCGTGGCGGCTCGAGTCCTCTCGTCCTCTGGCTTGAGATGGCTGCCACCTATGGATCAGATGATTGCCTGCCACCATTAAGCAATTGGTAATTAAATATAAAAAAAATCCTAAAAAGTGTAAAAATGTGGAAAAAAAATTCACGAAAATTAATTGTCACGCACAACGAGTCTGTGTGCAAAATGTCAGCTCGATTAGATCACGGGAAGTGGGTTAAAAAACGACCGAAAGATTTGCACGGTCGTAAGCGCGCAAGCAAGCAAGTGAACTTAATATAAAGGATTTAAAAAGAAACGGATTTGCCCGAAATGTAGTCGCAGTCGTTGTCCTGTACTTCATCTTAATCGTCATCTAAAGCCAGACTTAAGATCATCTTAAACCTGGTGGAAAATACAACATTCAACTGGGCGGATCTGAGAAAAATCTTGAATTAAATCTTTCGTGACTGCAGGAATTCATATTCTTTGGGTTTTTCGGTAAGGTCACGTGGATAGGTTCAAAGAAAATAACAAAATACTACGATGTTTCGATCGCTTGTTTTGCGATCGAAGCGTAGTTCTTTTTATTTTCTTTCAACCTACGTGACTTTACCGAAAAACCCAAAGAATACAGATCTGAGAACTTGCAGTATTAAAACATAAGCGACAGTGTTCCTTCTGCAATTTCTAATAAAATACTTCCACCACATCCGGCACCTTCCAAGGGAGGCGTGATCGCCTCGTAGCGTCAGAACGTAATCGCAACAACACCCTTTGCTGTCTGATTATCCTGCTCGTGTGTGTGACAGCCGAGCCAAGGCGACTCCATACCCCCATAGGTGCACGCACACTCCCCACACTTGTGTAATAAAAGGACTCGGACACTTCCTTCTGTCTTCGTGTCTTTTATTGGGTTCTCGTCTTCACCCACACGGCACTCTGTTATAACTCTGTATTTGTAGCCCCCGGCTATTCACTGCTATTATAGCTTCTTCTTCCCTCTGACTCTCTGCTTCATCTACTGTAACCTCCTCCCTGCAGACTTGCTGCTACCTCTATGCAGACTCCCGCTGCTACCCCTATGTGCAGACCCTCTGGCTGCTACCGTATGCAGACCCGCTGCTGACTCTGTATGCAGCCCCGCTGCTGACTCTCTGTGCAGCCCCGCTGCTGACTGCAGCCTCCTCGCTGCTTCGGGTCGGTCACCGCTGGCCAACGGTGCCGATCCTCGCTCCCCCGTGTTCGTGGCGATCTCGCCACCCTCCGCTTCGCCCTTCGTGGCCTCTCTCTGTTCCTGGTTCCCCGTCACTCCCGTCCTCTTCCGGTTCCCCTCCTTCTATAGCCTAACCCCTCACCCCCCCACGTGACCTAACTCCTCCCCTCCTGACGTCACCTCCGGAGGGCCGTTTACGCCCGCATTACATCACCCTCCCCCATAAAGAAAATCCAGCCGACCTCGGCTGAATTGCAACCTGACAAGAAATGCGGGTGTAAAGGGCCAACACGTAAAAAGACACGAAGCATGCAACAACAATATAACCAGAACACAACACAATACAATTTTAACGAAACGTGAGGGATTTCGAGCGAGTACGGGCAGCCGGGCCGTCCCGGACGGTCGGCAGACCACCCGCCGAGCGGGAACGTGGAAGGGTTTTAGGGGCGACGGGCGCAAGTTCTTCCGTCGCCATTGGAGGCCCGCCACTGTCCCGCTCGCGTCCAGAGACATCCCGTACTCGCGTCCGCGGAGGGATAGGAAGAGCTGCAGGTCCCGTGGGTTCTGCGGCTCCAGTCGACGTCCCACGAGCGGAACGTCCTCCTCCCTGCGCTGTCACGGCCGGCTTGTCTGTGAAGGGTACGACAGGCGCTCTCGCAAGGTCAGCAGACACAGGCAAGGTGCGAGTCGGCAGCAACAGACCCCGGCAAGGCAACTTCGGGAGATGACGCATCCGGCCGCGGGGCAATGTATGGCTTCAACCGGGATGTATGCACGAACCAGCGCCGTGAACCAACCTGAACACGCGCCGACTGTGGGTTGGGAACCTCAATGAGGCGGACCGGACTCTGCCAAGGTCTATGTAATTTAGGAGAGGTACCTGGCCGCACCTGTGGGCAATGAAGCCAGGCCAGGTCCCCCTTTTTCCAGGGGCACTCCCCCTTTGATCGTCGGGCACACCGCTCATTCCTGGCCTGAGCCTTGGCAGTAGCCATGCGGGCACTTTCCCTCGCCTCAGCGACACGCCGAACGTTGTCCTTAATATACTCAGGAAGAGGCTTAACAGGCCCCCTCGCGCCGGTTCCCAACTGTTCATTAATCGGCGGCACATTCTCACGGCCGTACATAAGGAAGAACGGCGAGTATCCAGTAGCCGCGTGCGGCGTCATGCGATACGCCGAAAGCACCCCAGGGATATGCAAATCCCAATCAGATTGATTTTCCCCGACTGTATGGCACAGCATGGCGGACAGAGTCCGATTCAACCGTTCCACCATACCATCCGTTTGCGGGTGGTAGGGGGACGTCCGTATCTTTTTAGTTCCAAGAGCCGCACACACCTCCCCCAACAATTTGGACGAAAAGTTACGTCCTTGATCCGTAAGGAGCCTCTCCGGCGCCCCTTTGTCCATTACATACCCAAATAGAAAGGCGTCAGTGATAGACGCCGCTGACTGGTCAGGCAAAGGCCAGGCCATCGGCCAGCGAGAGAGGTACTCAACCCCCACCAGTAAATACTTATTTCCCTTAGCGGATGGCGGAAAGGGTCCCAAAATATCTAACGCCACCAGCTCATTAACCCGAGATACTTTAATCGATTGTATCGGCGGAACATATGGATGTTTAGGTGGTTTACGGCGGGCGCAATCGGGACACGCGCGAACGTGACCGACGACATCCGTCGTCATGCCGTGCCAATAATAGTCTCGTTGCAGCGTCAATAGGGTTTTCTGCACCCCCAGGTGTAAAAGTGTGTCACAGTGCAAAGATCTAATCAACTCATACCGCAATGACGCAGGCACAACGAGACGCCAGTGTTCCTGTATCCCTTCCCTCCACATCAGTAACCCATCTCGGAGAGCAGTTTCCGAAATACCACCCGCACCGACTTCCTTACCCGCCTTCTCCGTTCGTTTTCGTAACGACACCAAAGATTCGTCCAACATTTGCTCCCGAATCCACACAGACCTTGGAAGACGCAAAATCCCGTCAGCCGGTCCCCCATCAACCGGTCCCGGTGTAAGCGGAGTTTCGAGAACATCCACTGCCAGCGCGACAGGCTGAGGGGGGGGCTGAGTCGGTCCACACCTATGCGTCCCCGACGCACACGCACAAGGGGATCGTTGCGGCAACCTGGACAGTGCGTCCGCGTTAGCGTGACGCACACCCTTCCGATGGTGAATTTGGAAGGAGAATTCTTGCAACGTGTCCAGCCATCTCGCCAATTGTCCGGATGGCTGGTCCATCTTAAGAGCGTACTGCAAGGCCGCATGGTCCGTGCGGACAATAAACGACCGACCGTACAGATACGGTCGAAATTGTCGGAGAAAAAACACAATAGCCAAAAGTTCCCTGCGAGTGACGCAGTAACGGGTTTCCGCGGGAGATAAAACCCGACTCCCATACGCCACCACACGCTCAACACCACCTTTTGACTGGGACAACACCGCCCCAATACCAGTGTCACTCGCATCAGTATCCAGAATGAAGGGATGTTCAAAATCCGGATAATCCAACGTCGGCGCAGTAGCCAGTAAATCGCGCAGGCTCCGAAACGCCGCCTCCTCCGGCGGTCCCCACACAAATTTATGCCCCTTC